GGACCCGGGAGCCGGAGGGGGCCCCGCGGAGCCTCTGGGAGCAGACCAGCCTCTTTGGTTATAAGAAAGAGGAGTTTTCCCTCTGCTCCTTTAAGCAGATGCTCCCTGGATGCAGGATCTTTAGATACCTTCAGACAGAAGATTTAGAAGAAAGCAGTTGAGGGTTTATGTGTTAGGGAATTGATTGATGACACAATCCTGCAGTTTAGGGATTTTTTTGCTGACAGGTGCATGCTTGGGAGCCACCTTTTTGATTATGTGAATTTTAAAGAAGTTCTAATAGTAAAATGGTCTTGTAGAAAACGCCTCTTTTTTTTTTTTTTTTTAAAAAAAAGCACGCGCCACCAAAGCCCCAGTCTGTACATCTGAAGCAGCCTGGGTTAGCTTTGGGACCTCAGTGCTGTCTCACCCTGACTGATGAAGTTAAGGGGATTAAGAACTAAACCCCTTTTGTTTCCTCCCAGCACTTTGAGGACGACCATTGGCCAACACTGACTTGCAAGGGTCATGGCTGTAATTCCTATTTGCTTCAGGCTCCTCTCCACTAGCAAATTAAAAGGGCCAGCACAAAGGGAGGATAAAACTTCCCTATCCCAGAGGCACATTTTCTACAGAATAGTCAGTGCTTTATTACTATTAATACCAATTATTATAATTATTTATTATTAATAAGAACAATAATATTTCTATTTGCTTTCACTTGTTTTTAAATTTAGCACTACCCTTACGTGAAAGGACATACATCTTGGTGAGACGTCTCTCTGGATAAATCAGACAGCCTATATGAGCATGATTTTTTCCAAGGAAGGATCTAGCGTTACTCCTATCAAGAGAACAGTAGTGTCCATAGAGCAGACAACTTAGGAAGTGTCTTACAGAGACCCTGTGAAATACACTATGCTGTCAAGTTCTATTCAGATAGCAAGATACTTAAGATGTTTACACACAACTCTGAAATACAGTGGGTGCCTCCCTGCTAGGTAGAACAATAATTTACTAGGCTTAAAAACCAAATTAATATGCCAAAGCAGGTATCATTCTATAAGAGTAATAAGAGTAATTGCTCTGTAAGGAAGCCCACTGAGCATCATAACTTAAAAAAATCACAGAAACACTAGGTTGGAAAGGACCTCCAAGATCATCAAGTCCAACCATTAATCCAGCGCCACCATGTCCCCTAGACCATGTCCTGAAATAACATCAAAGAAGATGTTACAATGAATGAAACATATGTTGTGCCACCTTAACCTGTCCTCAAGTCATTTACTAGAGAGAAAGCGTGTGCTGGGGGCTCACCAGCACCCGCAGCTTTCCTGGGCAGTGCAGTATTTGCAGAAAGAAGCCAGAGACTGAGAACTGCCCAAACCACGGCCCATATTTCCAAACCCCAAAGCCTAATGATAGCACCAGGGCCAGAAGTACCCACATTCAGAGGTATGACTTCAGCGGAAAGATCAAATTGCTCATGGGGGGGGGTCTCGGTTTGGGAGCGTAGACTCCAGTTACTGCATCGCCAGGCTGTGTGCTGCATCGGTGAGCAGAGGGAAAACCTCCTGGGACTGAAATACAATGGCAGGAATCACAAAAGATGGCAAATTGTAGCTCTACCTTAAAACGCAAAACAAAAATCTTGAAAGAAAATGTAACAGAAAAAGTCTACATTAAAACTGATATAAACACAGTTATCCTGGTAATTAGTTTGAGAGGAACTAGACTAGTTTTTGCAATTTTAAAGGCTTTATAAACTGAAAAAAACAACTCATGTTTCCATATAAGGAGGGAATACTACTTTTATGTACATTCTACATCTATTTATACAGATTTCTCCATTTATACAGATTTCTTTTTCCCTAATTTTTTTAACCACTTACTGGTCTCCAGATTTTTAAACGTGAGGAATTTGCTGCAGGTGAGAGAGTTAAAAGCAAAGCATTATTCACAAATGTTGATGGGCTAAGATTTATGAGGCCTTTGTTTCCGTCTACTGAGCTCATGTAACGAAAACCTGTACAACACCCCAGCATACAGGAAAAACAGAGATCGAGCCCTACCGCAGGTGCAGCTTTCACTGGGTTCACCACGGAAAGATGGGATTTGCTATAGTCGATACCCCATGTTTATTAAAGGACGTTTTTCCGCGCATTGTGCAATTCAGGAGGGATCAATGTTACAATAGATGAACGAGTGCCGGTGAAATTTATGCTACCGTTGCCGTCATCCATTAAAATCAATGGGGCGCAATCTCTGTGAATTAAAGCGCGGTACTCTGAAGCTGTAGCTCTCATTTCATTTCCACTGCTCTCTGGACAGGTTTGGCATTTGCTCTGGAGCCCGATGACAGTAGACATCCTTCATGGCGTTTCTGTAGCGGTCTGTCCTCCGGTGATAAGCTATAATGGATCTGTCTGTAAGAAACGCTGTCTTGCCTTGTTTCCAAAAAGAGATGAAAAACAGCTTCTGCGCTCAAATACTGTATTAACCTTGACAATAATGAAGTGGGTAATTAACTGCTTTGCCCTAATACGACCTTGCATTTATTGTCTTTAAACTACTATACTTTACACACTCGTTAAGAATATATCATCCTTTGTCCTCCCAGAGCTGTGTTTTCAGAAGTCGATGAGGATTTAAAATCTCTGTGATGTTCAGGGTGGAAAAAAAAAAAAAAGGTCTTTTAAGGAAACGTTGCCCTTACAAACAGCCAATCTAAAATCTAATTCTACTTCCAGCTAGCTTCTCCCCTCACTTGCATTATACATGAACTAAAAGCATAGCCTATGTCTATACGAAAATCAATTTTTTCTTAAGAAAAGGTACATAAAGCACAGCTGGTCAAAGTAAGTGTAAGTGATGGATGCGTTGGTAATTTATCTTCTTGTCTTGCAAGACTTTCAAAGTATTTGAAGCTGTGTTCATAACACCACATTTTACTCCTCAGCATAAGCAAATGTGAACAGCACTACCTTGG